TCCCTGTGGTTTGCAAGCAGGAATGCCACATGGGCATGCGGCAAGGAGACCAGCAGGGAAACGCTCCCACGTACTTTCCCATCTGGACCCTGGCAGGGCTTCTGAATGGCGCCACTACTGCTTTGAAGTATGGTTTGAAGGTGGGGGTGTAGGGGTGGGGTAAAAAAATGCCTGGAGATCCATGTCTAAAGGAAGGTAAAGAGATGAAGCTTTGAGTCAAAAGCAAGTCACGCACCTGCGTAGAGCAACCGGGAGCCAGAGAGCGATTTACACGCGCCGTAAATCTCAGCACTCGCTCCGATTGGCTAACCCGCTAGCGGCCACTTAACGAATTTTTAAATAAAACCACAGAAGGCGCCAGGATTGGCGCGAGCGGTCAGTGTGCCGGCCGAGGGAGGCCGAGTGTGCGCTTTGCTAGAGTTTTCCGCCAGAAGAATCGCGACGTCCGTGAAATTTAGGGGCTAAATGAAAAACCCAGCGTGTTGGTTCCCAGCTGCGGTAGGAATTCACACTTCTGCAAAGACATGGAACCATATGCTCCGTTTCCAGCGTGACACTTAACTCAGACGTCATCTTCTCTGGTCCCACGGAGTCGCAGCGGGCCGTCACATTAAAAGCATTAAGTTCTTTGCCCCTGCTTTTCTCACCTATTGTTTTCTACCAGAGGGACTCTCGCTAAGGCTTTGGCCAGGATGCAGATGTGGGCGTTGAAACACAGTACAGAGACCCGCCATTAAGGAACCGGTATTATTTCTCAGTCTCCTGTGGACTGCAGAGCTAAATGTCACATTAGTCATCATTTAGTACATATTAGCAAACTGTAAAAAGGCTTATGGCCTGTGATGGACCGGCATTCCATCCGGGGTGTTTCCCTGCCTTGTGCTCAATGCATTCTGGGATAGATTCCAGGCTCATTATGACCCGGTACTGAATAAGTGGTATGCAAGATGGATGGATGCATGAGCAGATTGATGGATACATTAAAAGGTTTAATGAATGTATGAACACAAATACAAAACTCTTCCCAATTATCATGAGGGTATACAGCAGTATTTCACAGTATTATAGAGAGAGAAGCTCAGGTGAAGTAACAGGACAGCTGCAGCAGTTTGTTGCTTTCTGCTCAAGTCAGTGTGTCGAGCAATAATGACGATCAGTACTTTTCTTATGAGTATAGGTGCTTAACTAGCGAACCTTTCAAGGGCTTAACTGGGAATACTGTGTGATTCCCAAAACAAGTGCAATTAGATAACAATGACTACAGAGATCGGTGTGGCGGGGCCGTGTCCAAAACCGCGTGGCGGCTAATTGTGCCGGGGAATGAGTGTGTTCTATGGGAAACGGGATCCATTTGTAAAGGCCTAAGCAATGACAAGGCAGGTGATTTACAGGGCGGGATTGGCTATGCATTGGCCACTGTAGCGGGGAGGGGAAGGGAGGGGGGCGATTTAGCCAAAGGGGTGGTGACGGTGTGCAGTGATAGGGGCAGACCAGCAAGATAAAGCCAACTATCTGACTTATGCCATAATTACCGGATAATTGTCATTAACCCTGCAAACAGTGGTTTAGCCATATTGTTTAAAGGACTTGGGGATGTGTAATGACAAGGTAATCTTTCATAGCATGGGGGGGGGGGCTGTATTAATGAGGTGTGGGTGGCTGGGGGGGAGCTGGAAAGTGCAGGGTGAGGAGCCGCATTAGGCTAATTGGGGGATTTGTGTGCTCTTGTAAAAGTGCTTCTAATGGCACGTTTGTTGCTCTCCCAGCGACTGTGGCTAATGTGGGTAGGGAGGCGGGGCTATGAGTGGAGGAGCGTTTCCGCGGACATGTGCGGGAGGCGGAGTCAGGAAAGAGGGCACCACAGATATGCCGTGTGACCCCGGGCGATCACCCGCGAGTGAGCGTGCGCATATTCATATTCACCAACCGTGTTGCTCTGCGACCGCAATCGCTGCCGGATCCTTCCTGTCTTACAAACGGGGATTAGTCCAAAACCCCGTACTCCTTAATTCTCGCCCCCCCCACCTTTTCCTGGCGCCTTTTATCTGAAATACTTTGATGTGCGTGTTGGTAATGTGATACGCTGCGGTGCGCCATCACAACCGTGCTGCTGTAAGTGGCGTATTATTGCAGCTAAGCCCGGAAGCCATGTCCTGGAGCGTACCGGATCACCCCGGAGCATTTCGGAGCCTCCCATGAGCAAGGGAACTCATGTCGAGGAATGCACCCCCCCCCCACCGATTGTAACGCTAATCATTCCCATTCAGACGACTTTCACTCTCTGCTCCTACAGTCTGCGGGCCCACACAAGGACAAGACTCTACCTGAGCATATTTATTTGTAATTTAAGAAACTGACACCCCCCAAACCCCCCAAAAAAATAATAATATGCAAACACTGAAAGTGATGGCAGATTGTTTTAATTTATTTTCTTACCTTAAACATTCCCTTTATCCCTTTATCATATTCAACACGTGTATTATAAAGGAGACCATTTTAAACATAGATGTAATGGATCCCAACACATGTTTACACCCCCGTGACTGATGTGCTGATGGTTGGTTCCGCCGCCTCACCGTGGATTAACAGACAGATCAGTGATCTTTGCTTTGCCCTCCAATCGAATATTTTGTTGCATGTAACCCCAGCTCAAGACCAGAAGCCTCGAAGCCCCCACTGGTCTTTCTTTGTCTGCGTGAGGTACATACTGGCATTTCAAAGAAGGTCATGTGACATACATGAAATATTTATTTCAACAAGAGAAAAAAAATCCAAAAAAACATCAAGGTTAAATATTGTAACATTCCGTGACATGTTCTGGTTCTCTCTAATGAGGAGTCTTTTCTGTAAAATGTAATGAAATTGGGAAAATATCTATTTATACTTAAACCAAATTTGAATCAAGGTCTGAAAAAAATACAATTTTTCAAAGAACATTTCTCAAGAAATGCTTTTTAAAGCTTGGTCTGAATTTGGCTTATTTGTATGTATTTTATTTTCTCTTAAATAATTTGCCTTCAAACATTATTCCTGCTTTTTCCCTGAAATTAAGCTGAATGGAAATTCAAATACCCAAAACACCGAATGCTACAGAATAATAGTGTACAGCCTAGAATTTAAAGTCTTACCTTCAGGCTAGACTGAGACTCACTCGCAAAATGAAAGAGTAAAATGTTTTTTAATGTATATTTTATAGATAGCACTCCTGCGGCCCTCCGTGAGGTGCCTTTAAAGAATTTACTTTCACTTTTTTTGTGGGTGGGAGGGGCAATATAGTGAAGCCTTCTAATTTCTGTCTTTGAAAACATTCATCTTCATTCGCTTAGTTTTGTTGGTCTTGTCAGTATTCACGGTACGTCGTTGTTATCCTGAATAATCAAGAACACCCCCCCCACCCCTACAACCCCCTACTTCATAAGAGGGCATTCATGAGCCGAGCGATGGACACCACAATTTTCCATGGGGCTGGGTGTGTCATAGTTGTGCTTTCTCCACCCCGTGTTGCTGGGGTGTGTGGACACTTCCCTGGGCTGCGTCACCTGTCATTGACTCTGGTGCCATCGGGGGTGGTGACAGCACAAGGAAAACCAACACTGCTTTTTTCCACACTATTGTCATTTCCATTTTATCATTTTCCCAGATGATTGTTCTCCGAATTGGTTCACGAGTCTCTTGCCCACTCGCCGTTCCAGCCGCGAGTCGAGTTTTGTGAAGCAAAACATGGCCCGGGGGGGGGGGGGCGTTCTCTCCTCTCCGGGCGACGCCAGCGAGTCAAGAGTTGAAAGCAGACGCCCTTGGGTCAAGTATCTCGTGCATCAAAGTGAAAAATTCGGCCGCAGAGCCAGAGTCCAGGCCCTGCCAAGATTCCCGTCCCAGAATCGCTAGCTGTGTCTCGGAGCTTGGCGGTTCTGAGCTTGCGAAAACTTTCGCGGATAATAACAGTCTCCAGAACGCCAGCCGAGAAGAGAAGCTCCTTGGAAGTGACACTTGTTTCTCCGAGCCCAGCAGATCCGTGCTTTGAGAGGGGTGGGGGATCTCGTTTCCCATGCTTTATGGGCCCCTGGTTCAGAACTCTGGAGTCAGGCGGCCGGGTCGCTTTACAGTACACTTCATTGAGATTTATGACTCGAAATTGCTTAATTTAATAACGCATATACTGCCCATATGAATACACACACTTTTCATCACCACAGTTCCTTAATAAAACATAGCCTTTTTACTATTTCATTTCATGGGAGATGTATAACCTGTGATTCTCGGTAAGATCGAGTTCAGGGGTCCCTCTATCCTCAAACAGGCTTCCTCCTTAAAGCCGATTCACTTTAGTTTTCCATCCATCCATCTTCCATCCCTGCTCATCCAGTTCAGGGTTGCGGTGAGCCTGGCGCCTATCCCAGGGGGCTCAGACACAAGGCAACAGACACCCTTATTGGGAGGGGTTTTAGTTGTACAAAAAATATATCCGGAGTTGGGTGTAATGTCGAACGAGTGTCTTATTTACACTGTTTTATTATCATTTCCTGCAGTTTTCCTGCTGTTGTCGATGGCAGTAAACAGAGCAGCACTCGCTGTATTTACGCAGGGAGTCTCGGCGCGAGTTCACATCTGAGGCAGCCTCGCGGCAAACAGGAGCGTCCTCGTGGAAACAGTGACATTCGGGGGTGGGGGGGGGGACCCGTTAATGGCGCGGCCCCGGCGGTCCCCATTTGTTTGCTCTTGACGTTATTAAACCCGCCCAGTCTCTCTAGCTGTGAGCCTAATTGCAGCATCTGCGTGGCTGATTAAAGGTGGAGAGGAGGAAAATGGGGAGATGGGATGTCGGGGGTGGCTGGCAGGCGGAGATCCTGTGCGGAGGCCTACTGGATGTCAAGCGGGTTTGCTGAAGGAGCTCAGGATTTCATGAGGGAAAAAGTACCCGTAGCTCAATCCACCTCGGGTGATTATGCGAAATCAATAAGTTTTTGTGTTTGTCTTCTCTCGTTACTTGACATGGCCTCCAGGATGCTGCAGGCAAGGTGTTGGATCGCTGGACCATCATGTCCCGGGAAGAGGAGATCATCACCCTGCAGCAGTTCCTGCGCTTCGGGGAGACCAAGTCCATTGTCGAGCTCATGGCCATCCAGGAGAAGGAGGGTCAGGCGGTCACAGTGCCCTCGTCCAAGACTGATTCTGGCATCAGGACGTTCATTGAGAGCAACAACCGCACCCGCAGCCCCAGCCTTCTGACGCACTTGGAGAGCAGCAGCCCAGCCTCCAGCATCCACCACTTTGAGAACATCCCCAACAGCCTAGCCTTCCTGCTCCCATTCCAGTACATCAACCCTGTCTCTGCCCCCATGCTAGGCCTGCCCCCCGATGGATTAGCACTGGAGCCGCCGGGCCTTCGACTGCGGGAGCCTGGTCTGGTCACTCAGGGTGAGCCTCTGGAAAGCACTGAGTCAGAAGTCTCGCTTTCTCCATTCCGTGGTGCACCAAGCCCGAGTCGTGGTGGTTCGTGCAGCGTTATTGGCATGGTGGAGCCCAAGGCTGAGCCAAACAGCACCTCCCCCGCACCTCCTGCTCCAATTGCACAGCAGCCTCAGTCCCAGCCACCCCAGCCAACGCAAATCCAGCCGGCCCAGCAAGCTCAGCAACAGCAGCAGCTCAGCCCTCTGGAAGACCACCCCTCTCACCACCCTTTCTCCAAAAGCGAGCCACCTAAGACCGTCACTCATTCCTCCTTCTCCTCCAAGATGCACCGCATGCGGCGCATGGGCTCCACTTCCCGCAAGGGTCGCGTCTGCTGCACCTCCTGCGGCAAGACCTTCTATGACAAGGGCACGCTAAAGATACACTACAACGCCGTGCACTTGAAGATCAAGCACCGCTGCACCATCGAGGGCTGCAACATGGTCTTCAGTTCCTTACGTAGCCGCAACCGGCACAGCGCCAACCCCAATCCCCGGCTGCACATGCCCATGCTGAGGAACAACCGAGACAAGGACCTCATACGCTCCACAGGCTCCGCCACACCTGTGATTTCCAGTACGAAGAGTGGCTTCACCCTGACCAATCCTGGGAGACCACCACTGGGCTTTGGCACCCCACCTTTGGACCCTATGCTGCAGGGCTCACTGGTTTTCCCATCCTTGAAGCCGGTACAGCCAGTACAGCCCGTGCCACCCTTCTACCGGAAGCTGTTGTCACCGGTTGACTTGGTGAGCACTCTTCCAACCAGCCCCATACTGCCCACCTCCACAAATAGCAACTCTCTGATGGAGCAACAGGAACAAGTTCCAGCCGCAAATTCCCACAGTGTCCTGGGCTCAGACTTAGGACACATCAGTCATAGTCTGTCTAATCCAGGCCTCCAAGACCCTACCATTGACCACATGCCCAAGAAGAAGCCCCGTAAATCCAGCATGCCAGTGAAAATCGAGAAGGAGGTGATCGCAGTTGCTGACGAATATGACGACAAGGATGATGACGATGATGACAGCTCCCCCCCGCGGCACCTGCATATCCACAATAACATCAACGGTAACTATAATAACAATAACAACGGTAATGGCGACCACTACAATGGGGACAGCTGTCACCAGTCGCCATCCCATGATGAGATGAGCCCCGGCATGGCTATCCGAAGCACTCTGAGGCAGGAGCAGGATGAGTACCGTGGGAAGGGCATGGGCAGCGAGCTCCGGTGTATGGACAGCTACACATCTGAGGACCAGGACCACGAGAGGGACTTCGATAATGAGTCGGAGACCTCTGAGCCCAAGACGTGCTACCGGGACGAGCTGATGGAGGCTGAGGAGCAGCGGCATGTGAGCAGCCTAGACCGGGAGAAGGAGATGGAAGAGGATGAGGATGACCGTATGAGGAAGGACATGGATGACAACAGCCTTTCTTCACCCTCACCGCACCAGCCTGTCATCAAGATCAAGGAGGAACTGAGTGACCCCACTTACGAGATGTTTTGCATGAGCCAATACGGACTTTATAATGGTAGCGCTGGGATGGCTACTGCAGCAGCTGCAGCTAGCATGGCTGCCCTGCACGAAAGCTTTGTCTCCTCTATGGGCTATGGCTCCAGCCCACCCAAATTCCACTCGCACTCCCCTGACGGGGACCTGTGCTCCAGCCCCGACCCTAAGATCTGCTACGTCTGCAAGAAGAGCTTCAAGAGCTCCTACAGCGTGAAGCTGCACTACAAGAATGTGCACCTGAAGGAGATGCACGTGTGCACCGTGGCAGGCTGCAACGCCGCATTCCCCTCGCGCCGGAGCCGAGACAGGTGAGTGCTGGTACTCCGAGACGCACCGGAACAACGAAACATGGTGCACTTCCGTTTTAGTTCTCATCTGGCACCAAATTTCTATAACCAGAAAAAAACGATCTGGTGTCCGTTTTCCAAAAATATAGTTGCTAACAACATTAGCAACTTACAAAGTTGGAACCAATCAGTTGCATGATTCCAGCTATGTAAGTTGCTAACATTGTTAGCAACTATGCTTTTGGAAAACATACCCTTGCTCTTTACAGGCGTAGTGGAATGTTATATAGAGTTACATAAAGGAAGGCTCCCCAAACTTCACTTATAAATCCAAGGATGATTCTGTGTACTGCATGCTGAGTAGCTTAGGGCACGTCAGTTGCCTTGCAGCGGTATCCGTTTTGCTCATCGTCCTACACACTGAAGTGTCACCCATAGCACATCCACACAGTTGTCCTGATGTCCAGAAATATGTCTGTTTGCAGGGGTGTTACATGTTACAAGTGTAGCAGGACGTTAAAATCACCGTGCGACCGTCGGGAAAAAATGCCATTGTGTAACTGGGTTTTTTGCCGGCTTTCATCCTTACGTTTTTCAGGACACATTCCGTATGTCAGCACAAGCATTAAACTATAGCTACTGATCAACCAGAAGAAATTCGATCTTATAAGTTGATTATTAGTTGTGGAAGTATTATTTGCATTTTGCTACAGAGAAGTTAAGTACGAACAACTGTATATAGTATTCAGGAAATAAAATCTGCCTCACAGGCTTCAGACAGCACACCTACTAAAAGTTCAGATATCACTCAGCTAGCATGAAGACGATGGGAATTCACAGGCCGTTAATTAAACCGAATTTCCACAAATCCTGTGTGTTTTAAGTGAGTAATATGTGCTGAAGGTGATGTCAGGAGTTGTGTTTTTCAGGGTGGGGCGGGTTAGCTGACATCTATGTACTTCCCACATGTGATAATGCAACGCGTTTAAGTGTCTGCGTTTACCTGCCACATGCAGGTGATCTGTCAAACAGCTGCATTTTTAATGAGTTAAACGTGGGTTAACAAGGTGCTGAGCAGCCTACTGCTAATTAAATTAATAAGTTCAGGACATTTTTTTTGGGGGGGGGGGGGGGCTGGAATGCAGGCCATGAGCTGTTACCCTATCTCTTACCAAAATCCAGGGAATCACAGGATTCTTCATATGAGCAAATAGATTCTGGCAATACTGAGATCATTAATCAATCAAAAGTCTCTCTTACACATATGCTGGTATAAACAGTCGCTCAGGAACTGACACAGAGTCTTTCGTTGAAATATCCCAGTCCTCTTACGCTCCACGCAGATGGAATCAGTCCAGGATACTTCAAAGAATGCGGGACAGAATAATATGTCTGTCTACACATAATGCCCTGTCTCGTTTTGTCACATCGCTCAGGTTGGGGACTCCCATGACGGCTGGCGAAGTCGAGTCTCACTCACTTCCGTTCATGAGGAATCTCAGTGATTCCCGTCTCTGGGGGAAACAGACAAGAACGATAACAACTCATATGGCGCTGCTGACAAGCGACAGTTATGCTAAGATAAAGAGCGAGTTCTGCTGTGTGTTTGCGTGTCTGCATGTGCACGTGCCGCGCACTCAGGCTCTTCTGTCGGTTGGCCTTTGTGTTTGCACTTCGTTCAAAGGCATCTGTTTCTATCTTGATATATTCACGATACAAAGGCCCAGTGACACCTCCGTTGCTTTCAGAGGGGACTGGCTTAACAGAGCTTGTTGTGAATTTACTAATGTTTCACCAAGGAAGGTGCAAGCATCTTCCTCACCCAAGCCAGCTGCTCTAACAGACGGCAGGTGACAGAAATCCTTATTAACCTCCGCTGGATTTGGGAGGTTTGACAAGACCATAGGGATGTAATATAGTGTCTAATAGCAACCAGGTCATGCAGAATTATTTGTAGAATAGTGCACAAACACGGTGAAGAAACACAGAGCAATGGAATAGTATAGTTTTTTTTGGTTTGATTCTGTGTATATTTTTATATGTCACCTGTTTTGGTTTGGTTTCCAAAAAGTGTTTAACGGAAATGGTAGAATGGAGAAAGGAATCTTAGAATGGAGAATTGAATCGTGTGATGAAGAAGAACATCTTGGAATGAAGAACAGAGGCTAAAAATGACGAATAAAATGGTGTAATGAAGAACCATCTTAGAATGAATAATAGTACCTTGGAATGACAAGGAACAAAAACTTGCAACGAAGAACAGAATGCAGGAATGAAGAACAGAATGGTGGCATTCGGGAGGTCACTGTCACGAATGACAAGAGAACTATCTCAGTAGCTTCAGCGAATGGGGGAGACAGACACAAGATGACCTGTCCTCATTAAATTTGCTCAAAGGAGAAACCCCCCCCCCCCCGTCAATATTGCCTAATTCCTAATGATATAATTTAGTCGTCAGTCTTTTTTATTGGACCGCCTTGACATTAGTGATCCCTGGCTATATTAGCATTTGTTTATTTAGCTGATAATGGCGTTCCAGAAACACTCAGCTTCATCAGGGAATGGAAATATGACATTCGCAAACGTCCGTTTGGGGAGAAAGGCTAATAGAGGAGTACAGCGCGTGACAAATGGGTCTCTGAGGACTGTGACCTGCACTGTTGTCTTTTCCCCTCACTATTTAAAAACACTACAATGAGGCCCAGATTAGGATAAAAGGTTGTATCTGTGACTGTATGTGTCTGATCTGGAACATGTTTCTGTTGCTCGTGGACCGGGCAGGGCAATTCCACTCCCTTCATTCTCACATCATTCCCAGTTTTCCCTTGGACAAAGAGTGTGTGACAGTCTGACTCCATAACACGCAATGTGAGCTTTTAAATTCCTCAGGAGGACCGAAGCGATTCGATACGCAGCCGTTCGGGTTCGCGCGCCAAGAGGGGGGAGCTGGCGATCAGGGGGGATTTGGGATATGCCCCAATCGCCCCGAGGTGTCCTCTTTTGTTCCCACGCTGGGCCACGGACAAATTCCTAGGGGCATCTGGGAGGATTTACAGAACTGCCGCCCCTGTGGATTCCCAAGCTATTAAAACAAACACCGGGAATGGCGAGCCTGTGGAATTCACAGTGGGCCGAGCCAAGGCAGAACCATACCCAGAACCCCAAATAACTAAACTGTTCCAGCGTGTCCCTAACCTAATTCCCAGTACGGGGTACCTTAACTACTGAGCCACACACACAGCACAAAGCACAGTATTCATTTTCTAACAAACAACAGAAGTCTCAGCAAGCAACTGCAACTGCAATATGGAATGTAAAATCCGAATTCTAGCCATTAGAGACCTTTTACAGCATCCACATTGTATTTTCTCACATTATTTCTCTATGAACCTTCCTCATGCTAATGTAGCTAATAAAGAATTAAATTGTCTATTTGCTTAACAAAGCCAGGAGAATCTTGCTGTTTAATTTTTTTTTACCAGTTATTAAGTGGTAGGCAAACTGTGATGAGGACATGAGATTGTACACGAGAGCCATCAAGGTGCGCAGAAAGTGACAAAAGTGGGTGACGGGGTTACACACAGACCAGGTGTGACCTCCGGTGCAAACTTTCAGGACCCCCCCCAACACTGAGCCCTCAGTCCGCGAAAGTGAGAAAAACCATCCTCGCAGAAACTTGGTAGGAGGTATTAAATAATAATATAATAGCGTGCATGAAAAAATCGTAAGTCAAAGACTCGTATCTTGAGGGATAACAACATTTAAATTTTTTTAATTGGTTATAAACGGTATGCAGTGCATGCAAATTATTCAAATTAGATGGGGGGGGTCTGGCCCTGAGGTATTATTAAACCGACCTGAATGCGTAACGCAGTCCTACTGGTCCTCTTACATGCAGTGTCCTTTTCACACTTTTTCACCGTTGGGGCACCACCTCCCCGAACAGGAAATTACAAAATTGGAGGTGTTCCGACAGGACACCCCCCTCCCCATCTTGGACACCTTTGATTGTCATGCATCGAGCTGTCTTTTTTTCCCCCTAGACAGCTCTCAAACGGCCGCGTATCCACAGAGACAGAGCGTAGCTGTGACGCGGCAGCATGATTAACGGCTGGAACGGCGCACACGGCGGTAATCATGGCCGTTATTATGCCCTTAATCATATTCCTGAAGACAATGCCTGGGTCTCTCTGTTTCTCGTTTGCTGGAGCTGCTCCTGTATGTACTCCACCTCTCGGCGCCCCTCCCACTAATCCCCCCAAACCCTGTCCCGCTTTCCCCCCGCAGTCTCGCCACTGTGAAACAACCTTTGTCTTTTTCCGCACTGTGTCAGTTCAAGGGGCATGTATCAGGCCAAACAGGAGTACAACAGCCTCCTACTCCCCTGCACCTTTTCTTGTGCAGTACTCCTCTTGACCACAGTAAAAACAGTTAATAGGATAAAGGTAGCAAATTCTTAGGCTTAGCTCCCTGATGGCTTCATATGGTGAGGTCACAGACATTTTTTCCTGTGACCAAATGGCGGTATGAACAGCATAATTTTTTTTGGGTGACATCATCATCAGCTAAACAGGACAGGTTGCTCATAAAATCCATTGAATTTTTCTTGTGCTTCTCGGGTTCGATGTTCAGGTTAAGTACGGTGAGCTGTCTCAGTGGGCACAGGAGTCAGTGTATCTCAGATGTGTCACAAAATCCCATTTAATTTTGCATCAGCGGAATATAATTCGGATTGTTTAGGGTGCTCCTCTCCCTGTGTAAGAGTCACATAAATCCTTGTAGTCAGGGTGGGGGTCCAGAGACTGCCAAAGTGTGAGAAGCTCCCTCACACATTGCTGTAAATATAGGATGAAGGGCCATGAATGAGTATGTCCTGCCCCCCCCCCCCACCTTCTTCGGTAGAGCTGAGGCAAATAAAAAAAACATGGCAAATAAAAAAACAAATAGCAGAATAAGAACGGCTGCCTGTTTAGCCCCCTCCAGCACAAGGCAGCTCATCGCTGTTCATTTACAGCCTCCGGGTCTGTGGGAGTGACAGGCCTATCGACACACGGGGAAACCTAAAGATGATTAACGAGGGTGGGGCCCAACCATTAGGCAGCAAAGATGGCCTCCCCAGGGATCTCCCTCCACTTTAGATGAGATGAGACTGTCAGTCTGCTTCGTCTGCTGTATTACTGGCCTCGGGGGGGGGTATTGGTTTCGAGGATGGAGGTGTTGGGGGTGGGGGGGCTTAGGAAGGGGAAGGCAGGGTCGTCTCCTACCTGCCTGTGGACGTGAGGAAAATAAGAGAACCAGTCAAACTGCAGTAACCGTTTGAGCTCCAGACACTGTGCTAGTTATTCCAGATTAGCCCTAACCCTAAGCCTAACCCTAACCCTAACCCATCTTCAGTGACAGTGACAGGGCATACCCACCCTGGCAAGAGGGAGGGGCCTCTGTGATCTCTCCTGCAGATATGCCTTAAAATATTCCCACCACCTGTTATTTTATGAGCAACCTACTTCAAAAATTATTAGGTTTATTTTTTTTTTTATCCTGGCCAGATTCGGTAAACATCTTTTCTCTACTCCCCCCCCCCTCCAATCCACCCCCCACCCCACTTGGTATCCTTTGCTGTAACATTTCCTTTGATGTTATGTGAGAGAAGGACTGTACTCTGTCAGGACAAACTCATTTGAGCGTTACTTGCTACCCACTGCAATGCCAAGGTCTTCAATTGGAGAGTTTATTATATATTTTTAGCTGGATTCTTACGTGAGGTCTTGGTTATTAATCAGTCAGCGTCGCTCTCGGCACATTTCATCTACATCAACTTGAGTTCCAGTCAACCTTCCTGGTAATTACCCATATTTTACAGAATAACAATACCAGGGGTATTTGCTGGGGCAGGACCATGGGGGCACTGGCCCCAACTGAAAGCTGATTGGCCCCCGCAGTGTCCCCTCCCCTGTCCCTGAAAACATATCATTGGCTAATGATAAGGTTGGTCCCTCTGAATGAGTTATGGCCCCTCTTATGCCCCCTACTGTAACAAACCCTTGAATCGCCACTGAATAATGCACATTATCAGGCTCATTATGACACGCTAAAGGACACAGAGATGTCACGTGACGGCCATGCCAAGCGTCTAGATCGTTTCCAGAGGGAACTCCACTCCCTTTCCTCTGAGTGCAACCCAGACGCAAGCGTAGGAGCAGAAAAGGTTTCCTCCTCGCAACTGGCTCCGGGTGTCTGTCGGCTCTGCGCACATGTGACGCCCATTAAACATGCCGGTCTGTGTGCCGCGATTGGCTAACTGCTTGGACACCCCCCCCCCCACCCCTGTTTACATGATTCAAAGAAAAGGTCCCTTCAACAAATGTATTTCTACCTCTTGCAGGAGAATGTCGGATAGGGAAGTAAATAATTAAAGGGATCCTTTTGACTGCGTCAGCCATGACACTGCTGGTAAGCCTCACTGTATATTGTGAAATCCATTTATCAAAGACAACATTTAAGTCTCACAGTACTCTTGCATGGACCGCCCCCCCTACATGAAAGCACTGGATGTTTGAAGCCATGTTGTTTTTTTTGTTTTGTTTCATTCTACTTGTAGGCCATAACCTGGCCTGGAAAGAACCCATTTGCGATGGATGAAGTTGATTTTGTGCTCATCGTCGATCTCACGCATTAGCATTCGTTCTGCCCTATTGTTTACTGTATATCCTATAGCCTTTTGTATGATCTACACCGTCCCTGGGCCTTGTGTCAGTACTAGTTTGCAAAATGGGGGGGGGGCTGGGGATTCATTGTAGGTTATCCAACTCCCCCCTTCAAAGTTGGAGAATCCTTGTGAGAAAGATTCATATAGTTCATATAGCTTCAGCATTCTTTCATGTGCTTTGTTTGTGCATGATTCTTGTAGTATTCGTGATGTGAGCCCAGTGTATCTGGATGGAGCTTTGAGATCTGAACAGAGGGGGTGGGGGGGGCCTTACATGAGAGTGAGCCAATCGCAGAGGATGAGACCGTCGATGAGGCGAGTTGAGCGCAGTCCACAGCTGCTGCTGATTATCCTGTTAGCGGCTAAATCAGTTGATAAACTCATGCCCCATACATTGGCGTGTGTCATCGAGTTGGAGGGAATCGGATTTGCTTGGGGGGGGGCAACCTGCTGACAGGAGTCGACACAGCAGGCAGGGTGTCAGCCTCGTCGAGTCTCGTGAAGGCCGTTGGGGAGGGGTGTCATAGGGTATCGCTCAAACATGCATTAGGGTGGTTATAACTGAGGGAGTGGCTGGACCCAGAGGAGAACTGTCCCACAGGGAACGTGGTTTAAGCGCAGTCAGGCTGTGACGACGAGGATCAAGGCTACACGAGCACTCCCGCACTCCTCCAAACACTCCCAGAGAGTGAACACACACCACACACCTCCTCTGTGCTTCTGTAAACTGCCACGGAGCTGAAGGAGATTCCATATCATAAGGAACTTCGTATATTATTCAAGCGGCGTGTCTGTAAACACTTGCCCAGGCAGACCTCGGACAAAAGCGAGAGACTCAGGTCCTGTGTGATCGCGCGGAGGCAGCTCACTGAAGCCCGAGGTATCAACTGCTCCACCGCACCGAAAAATCAGCAGGCACAAACTGTGAAACTCATTTTATGGACGCAGAATGCTGTTTACCGCAGACAGACGGAGCTGGTTTGTATCATGTTTTCCCCACGTTTCTCTGTCTGCGTCCTTTAGTCATTCTTCACCTGTAGCCATGAACCCCATGCATCTTTATATGGAATCACATTTTACTGAAGGTTAATCGGTGATAGCAAGAGCCACGCCATCAGTATGACACGTGGCCAAGCTCGTGTGTCGGGATGCTTGTGGTAACTTGTCAATTCATGTTTAATTTTTTTTTTTGGCTAGGCACAGTTCAAACATCAACCTGCACCGGAAACTTCTGACCAAAGAGCTGGACGACATGGTCCTGGACCCCCACGCGCCTCTACCGCGGGACCTGCATTCCGAATTCCTGGCTAAGATCTACGGAAGCCACCACCTGGGTTTGGAGGCCATGGGGGTGGGTGGAGGGCCGCGGGGATTTGGCCGCGACGACCCCGGCTCGCCGGCGGGAGCCGAGTATTCCCACGGCAACGGCTTCTGCAGGGGGGCGTCTGACGACTACGCAGTGCTGGACCTGAGCACTGCCTCCAGTGTCCAGTCCAGCGGGAGCGCGCACTCCTCCTCGCGGGAGTCGGACGACGGCAGTGACGAGGGGATCCTCCTGGATGAACTGGAGGGCGCCAGTGACGGGGAGGGGCCCGGCAGAGCCGCCGCGGGCGAAGGGGGCGAGTCGTCCTCATCGCCGACGCCGCTGTCCATGCCGGGGTCTGGTTTTGGGGGAGGCATCGTGTGCAGCATCTGTCACAAGATGTACAGCAACAAGGGAACACTGCGGGTGCACTACAAGACGGTGCACCTGCGTGAAATGCACAAGTGCAAGGTGCCCGGCTGCAATATGATGTTCTCCTCAGTCCGCAGCCGCAACCGGCACAGCCAGAACCCAAACCTGCACAAAAACGTGCCCTTTGCAGCCATCGTGGACTAGCTCCCCCCCCCCTCCCACACCCCAGCTCCCCCTCCCTCCTCGTTCCCCGGCCTGGACTGCCGTACGTCCTGCTTCCCCTGCCCCTTTCTAGGACTACATCAGCTTCCTCTCAGCGTGTTTTTACCACGTCTCTTCCTTCCAATAGCTGACGGATCTGTCTGCGCATGTGTCGCCCATGCGTGTGCGCGGACACACGCGTGACACACGGCGGCACAGACTCAGGCGGTGGCTCCACTCTCAGCTACTTTGACATTGCCTTCCCTTCGGAAGGGCAGAATAACATTCCCCGAAGCGCCCCCCCCCCCCCCCCCCCCCCCCCCCCCCCCCCCCCCCCTCCCGGGGGGGGGGCCCCCTTTCTTTTCCCCCCCCCCCCCCCAGCGCCGTCACACCCTGTCCACCTCCAAAGAATCTGTTCAGACTCTTCCCATGACTGTTGCCTGCAGAAACGATCGTAATGAAAAGAGTACTTTCTTGATGTATTTGTGAAACGAAAACTTCTGAAAGAGCACCCCCGTCCCCCCGCCCCCGCGCAGAGCATGACGCCTTCACCTGTATATAATGTCCCAAGAGGCTCTCGATGTTAAACGGTTGTGTTGATGGTCTTTTATTTTTTTGCTTCATGTTGCCGCTGCAGTACTTCCAGCTCTTGGGTTGGGTGAGGAAAGTGGGTTTGCTAGACGTCTTAAACAGAAGGCAAAAAAAAGAGAGAGCGAGTGAGATTCTTTTTACCTTCCTGTTAAACATTCTGCCTGCATGCTTTCAGGTCGTACTGTCCCGCTTCTTCCTTTGTTTGTTTCTTTTACCGCTTCCACACACAGATTTCCATCTTGCACTTTGCTGCTCTCCCGATGGAGAAGTGTAGTATTCTCAAAAGGAAACAGGCAACATCTCTGGTCCTGACCAGGACGATCCACAGCCGCCGTAACAGAGGTTGGGGATTTAAGGGTGGGCAGGGTTGGGGGGTAGGGTTGCTGTACCTTTTGTATAAATATAAACGTGCCAGTTTTGCACAAGTGTTTGGTTTTGAACCACAGTATAATGGTATAAGATCCATACTCGGCCAACATATCGATTTTAACGTTCAGCCTAAGAAAACACGTATCCAGTAAGACTGCTCTAAGTTAAGAGTATTGTCCAGAAATGCAAAACGAACTGAGTGTAAAACATAAAAGTATTATAATGTTTGTTTTATGTTGTGTTCTGTTCAGGATGTATGACTGTAAACGTGGTACAGTATGACGAGAATTAGCTCCGAGGTTTTAGTAGATGACCCGTCAGCTGCATGTACTGTTTGTGATCCCCCTTATTATACGGTTCGTGAATGTTCACAGTCGTTTGTTAGAGATTTCGATGCAAAGCAGAATGGCGTCAAGGAGGCAGGGGCAGCCACAGTGACGGCGAACAGAGCGGCGACTTAGGCCGTGACCCGGAACGCGAGCCAGCGTTAGGCGTCTCCCGCCAGCACCCGGCCGCGTCCGACAAGTACCGCGCACTTACGCATCAAGCCTTCGCTGTGATCTGTCCGCTGGGTCCTTTCTGCCTCGCCCCGGAACACTTTCCCGGTGGAACGCCTATTATACGAAAGCTGAATCATTCCCAGACACACATACATCCGCGTCCAATGTGATAACTTACGGTACAAAAAAATGTGTCTGGCCAGAGGAGAACGTTGACGATGGAGGAATATTTATTTAATCGTTTTTCTTCCGAGCAAAAACATGTGAAAGGGGGAGAGGAGAGGGCTCCCTTGTCATGCCCCCCTGGAGCTGTGCTTTTGAAGGACCCATTGTGGCCCATCGTTTTGTTCTTTGCTTGACCGCAACAGAAGCTTCAGTGTGTCGGGGGTGTAATTAAAGCGTTCTTGAGGTTCTAGAGGGCTGTTCTTGTCCATGAAGAGGAACTTCGCTGCTCCATGGTGCAGAGAGTGAATTCTGTGGCCCAAAATGCCGGGTTTTTCACTCGAATCCTTTCCGCAAAGTCGGTAGAGTGGCTACTGACTTTGTCACTGTTCCCATCACTCACACACAAGGATAGATTCTACAACAAGGGTTCTGGCAAAACGTAACAGTATTTCTCTTTAATTTCTGGACCTTTTCTATGCAGTTCAGGCATCATCTCAGTATTTTGTTTTGCTGAAAGTCAAAAAAATCCTGTTGGGAAATGCACCATGCAGCGGAAGACAATATAAAGTCAAGGATGCGACCCAACATACAGTGGCTGCGCTTTTTACCTGTGAATGACGTCAGTTATCAGTAGGAAACATTACATACTGCAGAGTCACATATGTGATTCTGAATTAGGCCAGGACAGCAGAGGGTGTGACAATGGAGAACCTGAATGCCCCATTAAGAGTGAACCTGCAATTGTGTCCTTGCTGAAATGGCCAGTTCTATCAACTCCTGCTCTTTAGTTTATCTGTAGGGACGCGAGAATGAGCAGGAGAGGCCAGGTCAGGTGTGGAGAGCATCTTTAAAAGGGCCTTGTGCTGTAACCCCTTTGGTCCACCTTATGGTCGCAATGATATTTCACTATCTGAAGACATGGCCGGTGCTGTGAGCTCGTCTTGCAGAGGAGCTCATTCAGGTCTGTCTATCACAAACCCCCCTACTCGTCATTTTCCCCCACGGGCCGTCCCACCCCCCAATCCCAGTTGCAGCAAGATGACTTGTTAACCTTTAATGATGGACGGGGAGCAGGAGTGGGTGGGACATGAACCATCATAGGCTTCCCCTAGCACACCCTACTTACGATGGAATGGGATTGACCACGGGGGGGGGGGATGTATGTGATCAGGGAGGCACTCTCAAGAAGATTGTGATGGATGACAGTGAAGTCAAAGGTCAGCGGTTCAGGATATGGAGGGTCACATACGTTAATCATGGAAACGTCTCTCTGAACCATGGTGACCAGTTTGACATTGTTTGGGCGGAACCGTTGGAAATATCGACACTGTTATAGAAGAGAAAATGGCTCCTAGTTCTTGTTCTGCCACCCGAATGACATGACTTTGAAACAGTGGTCAGAAAACACGGACAATTTTTTTAATATACCCCTCTTCCCGAGACAGGGTGTGAGCGATTCTGGCAGCATGATCCAGCTGTGTCGACACGGTCCAGCCCTGTCCACTGTTAGTCGGCCAAAGAGCAGCCGGTGACATGAAACAGCCAGAGTAGGACTGGCCCCAGAAGCCACTTGGGGGGGGGGGGGGGGGGGGGGGGGGTTGGGGTTGGAACGGGCACGGACATGATCCTGCTGTTCAGAGAGGGATCGCTGTCATGCGTTTCAATCCAAACGACTCCCTCCAAAAGGACAAGATATTTACTTCATCGAAGAGGTGCCCAACCATGACAGGGTGGGGGGCGGGGGGCCATTACTGTCCCACAAAGCGTCCCAGCACACAGGTGAAGCAAGGCAGCTTTTAAGAGCTGGTATGGCCCGAGTGATGCTTCAATATTTAATGAGGGAGCTGTCAGCCCGACCGTCGTGGGATGACAGCGGTGACCCATTACAGATACCCTCCACCTGTCACCTCCACTTACGTCATGGGTGATGAGCACAGGACACACGGAGGGGGGTGGGGGGGTGGCGGGATACTGCCCGGGAACCAGAAGGACTACGATGTACGAATTCCGGAACAATCCGTGGGGAGGCGGGGCTTTTGTCGGTCTGTGTTTTGTTTTACCAAACAGCGGGGCCTGTACTGTAAAATTTCCTTTTATACATCAAACTGGCATCCAGAATGGGCTTCCTGCGAAATTAAGGCCACCCGTTAATAATAAAGTGTTTATCACGGAGTCTTACCGATTCAGATGTGTCCTGATGCTGTTTCCCTTAAAGCAATGGCCGGTCATTGCGGAAGCTTCTCCCGCCTCGGCCTCCGAAAACGCATTCCTCCCTGCGACACCCCCCCACCCCAAATAAAATCAAAAGGTTTTACGCTTTTATTTTTTATCTTATCACGGAGAACAAATAAGCTTGAACGCGTTTGTGAATACCTGTTTTTTTATTTTTGAACGTTCGAATTCCATCGTAAGCGTCTCATTTGTGACTGCGCCCCGTGACCGCGTCGTCCCCATGCACGCAGCGCTCCCGCTGGCTAGGCTAGTCCACAAAGTGCGTCAGTGTCAGGGGAAGCTTGCTTCACTTCGATTTTATAATGGTGACATTGGTAGCTTCATGAATACTGTATGTGACCTAAACAGTCTTTTTTTTCCATTAGTAGACTGAGGGGGAAACTGGCCCCTTTTTTAATTGATTTTACTTTCCTTGTACTTTCTGTATCATAACTGTCTATTGTTTTGCATAAAATGCATAAGGGTTTTGGGATGTAAATGGAATTTTATTCATATTTTGTCCAAATACCTCTTGTAATTTGTATCAGAATTCTTGTACAATTTTTATATTAAAGATTTATCAGTCACTGGCAGCAGAAGTGTCGGGCTCCTCCTTTCTGGAATCTTCTCCAGGGTGTGCAGTACACACGTGTCTATTATATATGAACGCGGAACCGGTTTACAATGTCAACTCATCTAGTGCCACAGAAGGTCAATTTTCACTCGATACAACAAATGCTAAAAGTCTAGGTACTTAAAGATAAGATACCAAAATTAGGAAATATTAAGTTTACACACAGAAGCTATATATAACTTGGCAACAAAATATACCTTAAACTGTTAATATATGGTATGATCCTCTTTTGGGACTGATCAGTTTTTAAGACATTTAAATTAAACATTAAGGCCAGATCAGAGGTTTGCTTGACCAACCCTGTGACCAGCCAACAAAGATCAAAGAAGTCGGAACTTCCAACAGTTACCGGGGCAACGGCTCTGCCAGATCCAATCAGAATGCAAGGAGTGGTGATTCTGTCACGACCAGGAGGAAGTCAATCTGAACATGCAGCGGCCTTGTAATCTACAGCCTTGCCCACGTCAGGCCGTCGTGCCAGGAAGCCACTGCCCGTCCTGCAAATGGATATTCCTGGTTTCAGTATCTCCCGTCCACTCGGGTAACTTAGGAAGCCAACGGCGGGGAAACAGCTGAGACTGGCTGCCGGCCTTGAATTAGACACGATTCCCCTTAGCTACGCCGAGGCAGCTCATCCAATTATTGTCAATACACGTCCGTGGCAGAATAATAGACCTGGGGGTATTGATTATCTGGAACAGCTAACGATATTTCCCCACAGTGCTGGCCGGTGCTGATGGCTCACCGGGCAAACGGTCCCAACGCGCTGTGTTTCCTAGTCTGAGGTCGGCCATTGATCTGCCTGACAAACAGACCAATTCACC